ATATATTATAATGAAGCTTGGTTGAAAAATGAAAAAAAAAAAAAACCTGAATGACTGAAATGATCACAAATTATTTTTTTTTCTAATATTTTTCAATTGAAGTGACCAAATTCTCATTACCGCATCACAGATTTGAAGAAAAATTTCTAAATAGTGCTTTTTCGCTCTAACTTTTCTTTTCATCATCTGTATACTGTGGTCAGAATAAGTACTTTAGAACTAATGATTAATATATACAGTTGCAAGCAAAAGTTTGGGCGCTCCTGGTCGAATGACGTTTGGTTGGTTTTTTAAGTGAACACACTTCTACACATTTTAATGTACAGTTACTGTTTAATATTTTGGAAAAGAAATAAAACAAGCAGACATTTTTTTCACATTTTTCCCTCTAACATGTCAAACTGAGCAAATAAATTTAAATTGTGCACTGAAATTAGCAGAAAAATGTCATATTTAGGTTTGTTCCATGTAGCAGATGTGTTAAGATATTTTCAGAAAATCAGCAAAGCATGTAATTTGACCAGGACTGTTAAAACCTTTGCATACCTGTATATACTTCACAAAATATAATGTTTTATCTTATTACTGCAACACATTAACAGCAGTTGTTTTGAGTCACTGCCTTAAAGTTTACAAGGACAGCAAAGTTTTTAAAAATAACACAAACTTCTATTTATCCATGATAAATATTAGTAATGAGATTTACCTTTTAATAGAAATATCAAGAATTCCACTTTTTGCATACCTACAGAGCTCCTGATCTACTAAATTATATAAATATTTTTATCTGTGTGGTGATTATAATACTCAAATAATTATGAGCATGATTTGAGGTGGTTTTGTTAGAATGACCCAAAAGCACTGAGTAAATATATTTGAATAAATTATTAAAGGAATCAATCGTCATCAATCAAGATAAATAGTCGTACAGAGTGGTTTTGTCCTGCCCAATAATATGTGCATATTTTATGAATACATATAAACATGTGTTGTAATTATTAAATTATACTGTTTTATTATCATTTTGATGTTTTCACTGCATATGAATTGAGTAGTCTATGCATTGCGCACACTGACAGACACTCACTTTCTCCATGAGTGTGCGCGTGAGAGTGTGTCGGGAAGTGGCGCGTATGCGTGTGTGTGTGTGTGCATGTGTGTGTATGTGAGGAGCCCTGTGGCGGAGACAAACCTTTAGCTCAGCAGGAGAGGAACAGGACTAAACCTTAGAAGATCACCAGGCTTTCTTCAAAAACACCCTGAAGGACAATCTAATAGTCGCCCACCCACTCATCGCTGTCTGTGGTTCTTTCTGTCGCCCCGGCTTCCCTATTAAACCTCTATGGAGGTAAAAAAAAATAATAATAATTTGTGTTGACAAATGAAAAGGCCCCAGTTTTAAAACGGCCATCTATGAATAATAATCAGAATGATAATCAATACATAAAAATTGACTTTTCAATCCTTCACAACAAATCACATAATAGCTTTGAATTACTTAAACTGTTATGTGATTACAGCTGTGTGCAGTTAGAGTGTATTGATTTTTGGACTGACTCAGCTTTGTCGAAAATATGTTTTAAATGTAAATAGCCTGAGTCGAATGAAATAAACAGATTTTGGGGGCGTCCGAGAATAAGGAAGTAGCACTCTCTCTTTTCTTGGGATTTCCCATGAGTCAGAGGCCTGACCCAGAGTGGGCTGTGAGACGGTCCCATATTGTCTTGGGATAGATTGTTATGTGCAATATTGGGTTAAAAAAAACAGAGTTATTATTAATTTAAAATGTGGTGGCAGACGGGGAAAATATAAACCCTGTGAACATTTACTGTACGGTTTAATTAATTGGTGTAATTAGCAATATTTGATACAATGTCTTAAAAATAAATTGCATTTAATACTTACTAAATGCATATGCATAATAAGCTTATTATGCATGTAATTACTATGTACATTAAATTATTATACATTAACAAAATTAATTCAAATTCAAGTGCATCCTAAAATACAAATGCATTTTCACCCTATAATATGCTAAATATATTCGTATTATTTCATGAAATATCTCTAACAATGTAATTACTGTTGCATAGTTCTGCCAGATCAAATATTTACATACTTTTTTTTCCAGATATGAATTATTGCATTAATTTTATTTTTGCTGTGGAGACCCAAAGCTGAAAGACAAAAGAAGTGAAAGTAACACACTTTAAGGGAAAGCAGACCCTAACCAGAGCGGCCAGCTCCCCGACTGACCAAATCATAGTCCCTTTTCTCAGCCTCGGGGGACGCCAGAGGCCTCACAGCTAGAACCATTAGCAATTAGCATGGATACCTTATGAGAGAGAGGGGGGTGGTCAGATGGGACCCTCTGAGGGGGGGGTGAGGAGGGGTCAGTGTTCAAGTGCTTTTTCCTGTTTCTTCTCCTACGTGGCTGTTGGAGAGTAAAGCAACCCCACCACCACCTCCGCCACATGTACCCTCCCCAAACTCTTCACAGTCCTACCACTCATGCTTTCTTGGCATCAGGAGGTTCCTTGGGAAAACCCCTATTTCATTAAGTTAAATACCCGAGAGAGAGAGAGAGAGAGAGCGAGAGAGAGACATGGAGATTGACCAGGCACGTTCATCCCAACTCTGAGCTTCTAATTCAGAGAGAACGGATGAAAATTTAAGACAGTTGCCATCAGAAACATTCTCACTGGTTATAAAGAGACCTACCAAAAAGAAAAGAGGAAAAATGTCATGAGGCAAAGGAGGGGGATGCTCCGGGTCGTATTTGTCCCTATTTTTTTCATCGAAACTTGTTGTGAAGAGAAAGATTCTCCCTATACTTTTCGACTCCCCCTGATTTTTCCCCTCTTCTGCTCCGCTGTAATTTTTCCTCGTGTTTTATTGTGTGTCCGGCGCTTCCTCTTCCTCGGCCTGCGGTGAAAATTACACTTTCCTCTCTCTCTCTTTCTCTTTCCATCTCTCCCTCTCTCTCTCGCCCTCGCTTTCCCCTCGGCTCCTCACAGCTCTCAACCAGTCAACAGACTGTAAAGAATAAATAATAAAAAAGTATTGATTATTTTGATGACTGCACTATTCAATTAGGTATTAATTTTGCCCTCCACTGGACCTAAAGGGGAGAGTGTGGGAGGGGGGGGGGTGGAATGGAATGGATGGATGGATGGAGGGATGGAGAGAGGGAGGGAGGGAGAGACGGTTTAAATGAACGAAGCACCATCGTTCAGTGGCGGGGGAAAATGCGTTTACCTCTCTGGAGAGGGAGGTGCAGCCACGGGGGCATATTGACGCGTCGTTGAGTTTCTCGTATTTAAGTGCTCCACAAAGAGAGGAGGGACAAAAAAATGTCCAGCGAAGCGATGACAAGCGACATTGTTGCCGGGTATATGAGTATTGACCAGCCGGCCTCGCTCGGCCAATGACAGCTTAAACTATTCCTATTGATTAACATTTTCATAGATTATCATGTGTCATATCAAACTCCGCGCCGCTCTATCTGATGAGCGCATTTGCGGCGGCCCCTGAGGGGGCCAATCATCGACCATTCTGAGGGCGGGGGGGGGTGAAAAGAAGAGGGGGGTGGGCAGAGGGGCACGGTTCCATGAAGGTCCAGGCACCCCTCCAACTCCCTCCCATCTCCTTTTCTTTTTTTCTGCCTCTCCTTTCAGCAGGCTAGATTCAAACTGATCACCTGTCCCCCATCTCCGAACCACTTAGGCAGAAACTTCTCCATAAATAAGGCAGCGGGAGAGAGAAAAGGCGAGGTTTTTTTATTTATTAATTTATTTATTTTTTGCCTTGCCAGTGTTTGTTTATGATGTGCACCGCCGTCAGGGAAGGAGGGGGGAGGTACGTCTGAGGAAGGAGAGGGAGAGGGAGAAAGGTCGAGAGAAAGAGAGAGAGAGAGAGAGAGAGAGAGAGAGAGAGTAGAGGTGACATCTCCGCTGAATCTCCAGAGGCAACCCCAGACTTGGACCAGCAGTGACTCGGCCGATGCTTCCCCGCGTCACACGCTGCTTTGGCTGCTTTTGAAGAGCATGTTCTACCCACTTCCTAGCATGCTCTAACTCTTCTCCCTCAATCTTTGGATAACTGCGATAGAACTGTTATTTTTTTTGGAGCGAATTCTCGTTGTAATCTGGATACACCATTTTGGTAAGTTGTATTATTCTTTTATTGCAGAACCGTGAAGTGCTCCTGCCCACGCTGCTGTGGGAGTTGCTGCACTTGTGATTCGAATTAACGGCGAAATTATCGTGAAATACTACTTTTTTATGTCACCTCGTAAAAGTGCTCTCTCTCCCGAATGAGTTATGTTTGATTGCGTAAGTGGAAATACTATTTGGCCAATTAAGAGTATATGTAAATCACTGTGGCACTTGAATGAAGTATGCCATTAAAATTCCCAGCGATGCCGTCACTGCCAACTCTTGCGCTGAAGTGCTGTGCATTTCTGCCCGCAACTGTGGCAGTACCTGCAGATCTGATCCTTTGCTCTCATACCTGCAACTGTATTTTTATTAAGCAAACAATTATTTTCTCCTTAATGTGTGTTTAAACTGTGTGTATCCAAACATCTTATCAGAACATCGGAGTTTGTAATGCGTTAATGACACTGAAGTATGTAAATGAGGCCTTTGAGTGCACCGGGGCATGCGGGATACCAAATGGAATCATTCAAAATCTCTACAAGCCCACGAGAGCTCTCCAGCCGACTATAGTCAGCAGTAGTTGAGCCAGCGGGGAGAGAGCAGAAGGGAGAGAGTGAGCGAATGAGTGATCAGTACCAGAGAGGGAGGAAGAGAGAGAGAGAGAGAGAGAGAGAGCAAAAGGTTGAGAAGTGGAGAGAAAGAGAGGGATTGCGAGGGAACCGGCGGGTACCAAGCGCTAACCGGCGTTTCTTCTATCTCGTCCCTCTTTTCCTCCTCCTCTTCCATCCCCACCTGCTCGGTCCTTGGCTGCCTGTACCCCCCCCGCTCCCCACCCTCCAGGATCCAATGATCACAGGGCAGCTGAGCAAGCCGCTGCTCCCCCTCAGAGCAGAGATGGAAGGCGCGGAGCTGCAGGAGGACGAGAGGGCTGCCAGCCCGGACAGCGAGACCAACGACGAGCCCCTGCTGCTGCCGCCGGATGCTGACGACAACGACAAGCTGTACGGTGAGTCCCCCTCTTCATCGTCCTAGTGTTCATCACTGTCACCCTCAGTACCAAGGCTTGCGAAAGAGGTAGGACTGCATTCTTAAAAGGTTCCTAGCTCTTGGCTCTTGTTTCCAGGAAAAAATCTATAACTGGTGTAGAACCTTTGCATTACGGGGAGGTTCTGTGAACTTTAAAAAGGGTCTTTACATCTGGATCATCCTTTGGAAGGTTCTATGGGCAACCAAAAGTGGTTCTTCTATGGGAACCTTTTTTACACTTTTATTTCTAAGAATGTAGAGGAGCACAGCTGATATGTGTGTATATGTTTGTGTGGCACTTGCAGGGATGCCGTAAGAAGGGGGCGGAAATTATAGACACCTCTTGAACCCTAGACTTATTATTCAGTTATTAATTTAAAGTCTTATTATTATCTACAAGTTATTCAGTGACTACTGTGACACTTATGAGCGTGAGCAAGTGAAGTGAGGACCCACATATGGACCCATAGCTTTTGAGGAGTTTACTAAGATTTTTATAAGTCATAATTGTAGGTTTTTCACAGGGGATGCAGGGATTTTTGGCTCAGCTACATCGTAAATTGTCTCCCTCAATGTACTCTGAGTTTAAATAAAGGTCGATTGATTTCTAGCATTCTAGTGTACTAAACAAGTTCTAAGGTGCCGGCCATGAGTGGACGAAAGTTATCTGAAAGTTTCTAGTACAGTTTTGTGCTGCTAATGCTGTGATGTGGGGGTAAAAGCATTATGATATATTTGAAAAAAAAAAGTTTGGAAGTATGCAGAAGGTGTCATGTTTGGTTGGCTCAGGAGAAGCGCTGGCATTTTGGAGATTGAAGTCCTCCTTTGCTGTTTGCGGTATTTTGTTGTTACTGAAAGTCTTCAGGGGAATATTGTGACACAAAGTACGCAGCTTTAGCACTGCGCTCGATCAGATCTCTCTTCTTGTGAAGTTGTCAAGCAACTATTGTCGTAGATTCTAATGCTATTTTCTTAAAGCAATTCACAGTTAATAAAAGTAAACGTCTCCATCCGTGACGATGAACTCTTGTTCGGCTCCATCCTGTTCTTAGAAACATCTGAGCCTTTTGTTTTTTTTTTAAGGGGTGCATCAGGGCACTACGTGAGGACCCCTTTTTTTTTGGTTGGCGCTCCAAATGCAGCAAAATTTGACAGAATCTGGGGCAAACTGGCGCACACACACTCATCTGTCATACGGGGTGACATTTCTTCACATGCGAGATCTCCTCGGCTGAGGCTGGAGATAAAAATGAGAGAAAAGCAGGGACGCCTGAGGGGAGAGAAATGTGATTGTTGTGTGGAGAGCTCCTGAGCCTCATCTGCCGCTCTGATCTGAATGGGCTGACTTTCAGAGCTGTGATGGAGAGAGGGAGATACCCTCACTTTCCAGCTTTTTTTTTCTGCCTCAGATTTAAGTCGTGCCTCTGACTAAAAATGAAAAAAATTGGATGCTTCTATCATTTTTATGTACGTCTTATGAAATGCATTTTATGCCTAATATACAACACAATTGTGGAGTGAAGTAAGTTATGTAATTTTTTGTGTAACATATTATTATATCTTAATATTTAGTGCATAAAAATCACGTTAGCAAATATTGTTTCATATGCAATGTTAATATAATTTAAACATAAATTCGTTTTTATATAAAAATAAGAAGGTACATTATTTTCCTAATTTGGTCTTTATGTTCACTCAAGTCAAACCTTTAAAACCAGTAAGGAAGATGTTTAAACAGGGTGAATAAATTAGGATACAGCCAAGATTTAAATGAGTTAGAACTGATTCTCTGATTTAAATTACAGGAACAGTGCATGTTGTTGTTTTACAGGTGTCAACAGAAGCGCTTGAATTTTGATTATTACACTTCACAAATTTATTCAGTTCAGCTGAATTTTCTTGCAGAGTCTTTACACTTTTATAGAAGATACATACATCCAGCTCGATTTACATCATGATGTCATTATGAGAATGTTATATATTCACATTTTAGCTCTCCTGAATATATTTCAATAGATTTTTTAGGTGACTCAGATCACAAAAACACAGTAATTTGAATATTGTATATATTATATATATATATATATATATATATATATATATATATATTGTATATTCTACACACTCAAAGATATATTTTCTCACCTAAAACAAACACACACACACACACACACACACACCCACACACACACACACACACACACGCATACATTTGTCCTTTGCAGACGTCAAAATCTGACCATTACAAATAAACCACTGATGCCTGATTTCAATTTCAATTTTTTATGAAATTTATTCTCCCCATTTAAAAACTGTACACAATGACAATTACGAAATTCTTCATAACAAACACAGTTATGCTCTGATATACATTTATGCAGTTGTATAAAATAACATACATGAGCTGCATCCACTTCATTTGCACTCACCCTGAGAAAATTCTGTTCCTGAGTGGCTGTTTTTTTCTCTTAATTCCAAACATCAGAATGAGAAACTCTTGTATCGCTAATTCCACAGTTTAGCTGCTTCTGTCCTTTTGATTTGTTCAATTAGTTAAATTAGAAATGTTTCAAACGTTAATTTATATATATATATGTATATATATATATATATATATATATATATATATATATATATATATTTATGTATATTCATTCACACATTAGATATTATTTTTCTCAACAAGCGATACGGAAAGTAAACGATGTGGATCAGGAAGATACTTTATACATTCTTTACGGTCCGGTTCAGTTCATGAAGTATGAACTGCATCATGGTGGGATTTCTGTGTGCTTTTCTTCTTTTTTCTTTACTTTTTATTTTCTTTCTTTTATTATTTCTTTTATTCTTTTCTTTGTTTCTTCTTTTTTTGTTTTTTTGTGTCAGATTTGATACTCAGTTGTAACTCTCTCTCTCTCTCTCTCTCTCTCTGTTTCCTCCTCATTCTTTCTTTCTTTCATTCTTTCTTTCTATCTTTCTTTCTTTTCTTCTTTCCTTCTTTCTGCCTTTTTTATTTGGTCTGTCTTTATTCTTTCCCTTTTCTCTTTATCATCTTTTTTCTTTTTAAATTGGTGTCAGCCTTGATACTCAGTAGCTGTGAGTCTCTCTCTCTCTCTTTCTCTCTCTCTCTTTCTCTCTGTAGCTGTCTCTTCCTCCTTTCTTTCTTTCTTTCTTTCTTTCTTTTTTCCTTTCTTTATTTCTGCCTTTTCTTATTCCTTCTGTCTTTTTGCTTTCTTTTTCTCTTTATCATCTTTTTTTTTGGCTTGTGTCAGGCTTGATACAGTAGCTGTGAGTCTCTCTCTCTCTCTCTCTCTCTCTCTCTCTCTCTCTCTCCCTCTCCCCCCGCAGCTGCTCTGTGGGTGGCTCTCTTTGCTCTGTTTGCTCTATCACGTTATTACAATGAAGTGCTTTAAGTTAATGTCCATAAATGTGATCCTGTTGCATCGAATGAATGAATACTTAATTCTGTGCTGGACGTCAGACTTTGTGATTTAAATGTGAGATCGCATCTGCACTTAAGTACAAACTGCTGTAGTTTTTCAGCCTAAACTTAACTACCTTAAGTTTATTGCTGTGTACTTCTTGTAAAACTACCACTGCATTCCAACAATTGCCAGCCATTTTAATAAGACTTTGTTTTACAAAGGTTTACAGGAAAATGTGCATTTGTCACTGGGAGTTTACTTGGAAGCCAGTCCGAGCGCTTTTGTTCCAAATCCTTTTAATTGACGCCGGTGAGTAAAACACATGGTAGGCCTCGGTGCACGAGGCTTCATCTGCTCTAATTAAACCGGAGCAGGTAACGTGGCTGACGTGCCGGTTCACCGCAGTACATTAGACATGAAAAGAGAAGTATAAAGAGCATTGCTTGGTGTTTTGAGATAAATTATACATCAGACATCAGCTACCCCCTTATGAGTGCCTACCAGCATAACAAGAGTGTGTATGTGTGTGTGTGTGTGTGTGTGTGTGTTAGAGAGAGAGAGAGAAAGTGAGAGAGAGAGAGAATGCTTGTGTATCTGCATAGACGGTGGATAGGCGATATAAATTTTTTTATGTAAATATATATATATATGTATATTTTTTTTTGGGGGGGGGTGAGAGAGGTGCTATGGGATGGGAGCATGAGCATGATGTAGCTTGTCACCAAGGAGACGGAGTGTTACCACGGCGGGTCTCTCTTTGCTGATTTGACTTCTGGGAGGTTTTTTTTTATTTTCGCGGGGGGGGTGGGGGGGGTGGGGTTTGAAGCGTCTCTCTGATCCCTGTCCGACCCTCGCTGTCAGCCTCACTGATCGGTCTGGAGGATCCCACTGTCAGTCTGATGAATTTTTAAGGATATCCCAAGGCAAGATTCGCCAAAAAAGATGGAGAGGGAGAGCGAGAGACTAAGACGGAGAGTGTGGAAAGAGAAAAGAGAGAGAGAGAGAGCAGTAGCTGTTTCGTAATGCCGGAGTTACAATTTTCTTTAATAAGCATCAAACCTGCTTTTGTTGCCCGCTTTCTTTATCCTTTCACCTTTATTTTTTTTCAGCTCGTCGTCTGTCTGTCTTGTAGTCGATTTAGCTTTTACGCGTGAAGACAAACACAGCGAGCACACGCATACCGCGACATATTAAAAGTTAATGTATTTAAGGAGAATATGTTTACTTTTAATGAATGGTAAGTGAATGATATGATGTTCTAAACAGCTCCTTTTCAACAAAGGTTTGGCGATATGTAGCTTTTTAAAATGTTTTAATACAAATAAGCATGTTTTCTTTGTCAATTTGCAATAAAAACCATATTAAAGACTATTTTGTGGATAGTAATAATATAGCCTAATGCATATTTGTGACAGTAATAATATTTATACATGTAATATACTCATGAAGTACTAATAACCATATATTTTTACATATTACTGATATACTACTGTATTTGATGTATATTTATAGTGTGTTTAAAATCAGAGACCGCCCTTCATTTAATTTATTTCCA